AATAGCATAGATGAGCCAAACTGTTAATAAATGACGTAAATGAGCTTTCTTCAAAGTTTGATGTCATATTTCAGCCTTTTCCGTAAAAAAAATGATTCTTCTATTTATTTATTTTTCATATGGAAAATGCAATGCCTAAATTATCAAAATGTTGTTTGGAAATTCTTCTTTTTTTAGATGTAAAAAGTTACTAAATATAGAATAATAATGTGGTTGTTTTACTCACTGTTCATGAGAAGGTGACATGCTAGTGAAGAAGACTCTAGTTTTGTTTGAATACATATTCCTTTTAATCCATCTCAACATACTCTTTATTGCCATCCCATATGCCTCCTCTGTGGATACCTCTACTATATCTTTCACTTCATCATCAAAAGACCCTTGCCTGCATCAATTTTCATTTTATATAACTTACTTTCCAAAAAGCATTAAACAATAGAGACGAATTCAAAATTTAGACGTTGTAAATTCTGAAGAGTACTTCTAATTGGTGACCCCGTGGTCCGAACCACGGGCCAAGCTAGGGGAGCATGCATAAGGAGACTCATCCAAACCCTGTTTGCTAGAAAATTACCCTACATACGAGCTTAAAATTATTTTTGATATATATAGTTAAATCACTCTATAACAACCTCTCTAGACCTATTATTGATAATCTTAGAGATTCTATTTTTATAAAGATGGTTATTATATTGCCAAAAAAAGGAAGATAATTATTATAAAGAGATTATTTTATAAAATAAAATAAAAACATATTGTTATAAAGATGGTTGTTGCTATTATAAGTACAAAAATGTTATAGAAAGGTTAAATATAACATAAAAAACAATTTTGAGAAAAAACTTATTTTTATAGAGGTAATGTTATGTAAGAATGTTGTTATAGTGAGATATATATAATTGTATTTTAAATTCTTATAGTGAATATACTGACTCAACCATGACGAAAAGCAATAAATAAAGTAATAGCAAAAGAGTCAAGGAAATTACAAAATATTAAAATGAGGCCCCCTCATCCACCAAAGGTAAGTATTGAAGACAATTATATTAGCCCCTTTCCAATATTTTCCATGTGCATTTATTGAACCTTTTCTAACAACTCTTTCTTCAATTCTATGTTTTACTGCATCATCAGAATTTGATTCCAGCAAAAATGGTGCCCAATAAAACTCAATTGTTGCATTGTAATCCTTAAAAAAAAAAAAAACTCAAATATAAGCCAAATTATATATTTTTGTAACATAATTGTTATGTATAAGTTCAAATTTTTGCTAGAGATGATCACCTTAATCGTGAAAACGTCGAAATTACCAATAGTTTTCATGGATTTAGCATTCTCAGGAATGAGTCTATGGACAAGACAAACCATAGAAACATATTGTCCTCTGTTTAAAGAATCGCCAACGAATAACATCCTCTTCCCTCGAAGTGTTTCCAACATTAATGTCGCGTTGAAACTGTCATGTCACGTAAGCAAAAGGCGTTATAGTAACAGTTAACCTCAAAAGTTAGCTCATAAGTTCAATACTTTAGTTGTCGTTATAATAACATGGAGTAATGTGTGTTTTCACTCCTTATTCTAAGTTAAAAAGTTTAATTTTTGAGTTGAGAATGTATAAGTGGATGAATAAAAGGGGGATAAAATTAATTAAACACTATAACTCATACTTGTTGAAATTTTTGCAACATTTCTCATATATATGTTTCACGTCAAAAATATTGTATTTGATTAAACTCGTAGCTCAATAGCTACATTTGCCATTGGACTAATGGACTCGTGATATCATTCGTCATGCATAGAGTTCGTTTGTTTTATATTCACTGACAATATAGAAGAATTTTACCTCGGAAGAGAGCAATCATGAGGTTGCCATCTCCAATGTTGATAGTTTTTATCTGGCCTTCCATGTTCTTGACAAGTCAATTGTGGTTGTATGTAAGGACATTCTGATTCTTCATATAAAGGTCTTTTCTCATCCCAAACCCATTTTCCATTGAACACATTGCATCCTTCTTTTGTCTCTCCTATGGCAAATGGTAACTTCTTGTTCTTTTCTACCAATAGAAAAGAAAATTCATAAGATATAGTTAATCAGCAGTGAAATCAAAAATTTCGTTAAACGTGTTCAAGATTTGATGTAATTATAAGTATCTATATAAGAAGTAAATTTTGACTTGTACATAATATTATTTTTCATAATACACAAGAATTTTCCCGCACCACGACTTTGATCTGTTTAATTATACGGTTGCAGTGCATAATGTGTGTTAGACGCATGTCACGAGTTTGAATCCTACTACATATAAAAGATGATTTAAAAGAATGACCTTGGAGGTGAGTGGTCTTGAACTTTTTACCTTGCTGGCATCATGGACAAAATTTCAAGTTTTTAACAAGTTGACTTTTGACCTTGAAGAACGTCCGTGGAGTAAGCTGGAGCCAAAAGTTCAAGACCACAAATTTTGAAGATTATTGGGCTTAATTTCCAATACAAAAAAAAAAAATTAACTAGAGAGGGGTAAAAGGGTGCATAGGGGCCTATTATCCAAAAGAAAAACATTCTCAAAATAATACATATCATCGATGAAGGGTGTTTAGTTGATCACCCTTCAATCTATATAGCTATATCATTTGCGGCCATACTCATGCTGAATCCACCAGCTCTAGATTATTATGATCATACTCGTACTGAACCACCAACTCTAAATCCTAGATCCAACTCTACCTCAATAAGGGACAATAATATTGAAGTTTAGTATGAGAGGATTTTCTTTTTTGTTTTGATTGGTTTGTTATGTTCTCATGTTTAGACCAAACAAACAAAAAATGTACAAAAAAGCCAAAAACACATAAAATAAAATATTTTTCTCTAGACAAACATACATGATAAACTCCACCCAAAGGGAAAAAGTGCAAATTAATTAGAAGTACTCACTAATATTACTTGAGATGGAATTTTGTTGTTGGCTGGCAATTCTTGGATCAAGCTGGCTAAAAAAACAATTGAATTTTTCACTATATAGAATAATGATAAGAACAATAAAGGGTAATAATATTAAGAGGAAATAAGAAATACGAATTTTCCTGAGAAAATAAGAGGAAAAATAAAAAGAAGATGAAGGTGGCTTCATTTTTTTGGTTTTTATTGGTTTATTTGATGCCTTTTGTAGCTACATCTTTTTTTCTGTTTTTTTTTTTTTTTGGTTAGGTAGTGAAAGTCATCTATTCAGACTGTTCAGTGTGAATATAGGTAAACTATAGGTTACCTATAAAAAGAGTTGAAGAAAATTAATTAGTTCTATTTTCAGCTAATTGAATAATTAATTTTTTTGGAATTATTTGTTGGTATTCTTGTTGGTAGTTACTATTACTTATCATCTTATTATTATTATTGTTATATTAGGTTTGAAGAAAATGACTTGTATTAATAGAGAGGTTATTAATGGATAAAGGGATTTAGGTCCCATTAGTTTTTATTAAAATTAACATGTCTGAATCTAAAATAAGATGTGTATTAAGATAAAGTCGTTTGAAATCTAACGATAACATCTTAGTTATGCCTAGAGGTTCATTTTATATGGAGGCGATCAATACAACAATAACATACTCAATATATTCTTACAAGTGGGGTGCGGGAAGAATGAGATGTATGTTGATTTTATTCCTACTTTTGTAAGGTAGAGAAATTGTTTTCGATAGATACATATTTCTCTAATAATGAGTAATATGTAACATAGTGGTTGTGGTCGATCCATATATATATATATATATATATAATTTTATTTTTTCTTAAAATGATGGTCAAAATAATGTCAATTTTTATGATGATAGAACTCATACAGGATCTCCAAAAGGCAATGATCTCCCTTGGCTTCTAAGTGAAGGGTGGTCATGAATGATCTGATATAATTGTTTTCATATTTTATATATTGACAAGGACTTAATTATATATTCACGGGTGAGGATGGCTGAAAACTATATAAAAAGATCAAATATTGTTCTCATAACTGATGTCGAACTTCTAACGTCCTCTGGCACACACAAAATTGGGTATATGGAGCAGGAATATAACACAAGGGTTCAACATTGAGTAAATCAAGAATTAGAATGAATCTGACTCTAATACCATTTTAAGAAATGTCTTTAACCTAACTCAAATCCAAAAGTTACAAAGTATATTTCTACTGCAAATATCAGTGCATAAAGTAAACCGGATTCGTGCTGAAATATCCCACTTCAGAGATAAAATTCTCTCTATCAAAGGCAATTCTATTCCGATGCTCAAACCCAAGACATCTAGTAATAGACGGAGGGATGCCTACGACTCCACCACAATGGTAACTCTATTATCAAAATGAAAGTATATAGTGTAAAGAAATTAGGTAAATCCAGTACCAACTGTGACTTGTTTAAAGGGCTGAGGAGTTGGAGTGTGATTTGAGATTTTAGGTAATATTTCAACTTCATTTTTAGTTTACACTTGTTTGATACCAACTCCCCACCTACCCTAATATTTACATGGAGTAGGTTATTCCCATTGACATAACAAGATTTAGGATCTCAAATATAATTGGCAAAGATTTTTTTATATGATTATTTCATTTTCACTACTTTTACTCTATCCTAATTGTTCCCCTAGAAAAATCTTTTGAAGAGCTTTTTCTATCACAAACTCATGGTTGTAAATGTTTGTCACTCCCTGGAAAACTCTGAGATTTAGAGTTGATGTCTTGACATCCATACAAGAAACTATTGACTTTGAATCGCCATTGTTCTGAAGGCCTAACGAGTCCTTCTTTCTCAAAGGCCGTCATGTAAAGCTTTCCTCATAACAATGACTCACTTGTTTAGTACTGCTAACTATCATAGGAAGATGTCACCCTGAGATTATCAATAGCTTTGATTGTTGAATGTTGTGCAAGTTAGGTTGTGGTTGTATTGACTGCATGCACACATAGGCACTTTACGGGTGTAACTATAAAGGGTTCAAGTGACAAACATAAAAACAAGAATTGTCGTATTCGCCCTATAGTATTTCGCGAAAAATGTTGAAACCCCTTGTGTCTAAAAAACAACTAGTGGGCACAATGTAGTTAAGATCCAAATCCTGTTCATGGTGGAAGCACCAACAGCCTAAAAAGAATGCTGTTAACTAGAACTCAATGACACTGGAAAAGAAAAAAAGGAACTAGTACAAAATGACAGCCTATTCAAGGAAATTACAAACAATTGAAGTGAGGTCCATGAGAAAGAGCCAAGTTGTAAGATGTCCAGTTTTAGTCTTACTGGAGAGGAGGAGCATGAGGATCTGATTTTCTTGAAGCATCTTGAAAGAGCCAATTGTCGATCCATGTCAAAAATTGATTCATCATATCCTTTGAGTAGTTAACTTGTTATTGCTCAAAAATTGACAGGAGAATATGAGCTCCTGTGACCATGAGAAGGTCCTCTAAATCTCCGCACCAATGATGTAAATGAACTCTGCAAAAGGAGAACATAAATGTGATGATAAGTTCTGGTTCAATCAGCCACGAACGCATCCTCCAATGAAAAAGATTATGTGCACACTAAAAAGAAGGCTATTCTCAAACTTTTCTTTTTTTCTTAGATGTTTAAGGCAAGGCAGAGATCTATGGCATAGTGTTTCAGCAGGTCCATGAATCCACAATTCAACTAAGACACACACCTCTTTGTGAAGGTAAACAGGGATTGGAGAAAGAAAGCACAAGAATGGCTTGCTTGTAGATCTGGTGTTAATATAATGTACTCGCAAAGTTTGAACTACGGGTTGCCTCCAATTACGTAGAAGCTTCATTTTTTATACCATTGGGTGCTTGCATGGAAATTAGCAGTCAGGAATGAAGAAAACAGAATAATAAACACAAATCTAAGAGCTGTCCGTTCACAGCGCAGAGAACTCACTGCTAGAGTCAACAACCATCCAATTAATGCAACCATGATCTTTAGAACTCGGACACGCTAGGTGTTACAATTATTCATGGAAAACACTCATATTGGTGTTCTTTCAATATACCACTTTTGTGGCAACACTGCTAGGTGCTATAAAAAAAATAAAAAAAGAAACACAATGTTAATGCTCCTAGCCTACCCCGAATCTCTCCTGGAAAGGGTTCATTACTAGAAATGTTTGGACAAGCAAGACTCAATTCTGTCAAAACGTATCGCCCTAAATCACAGCCAATAAGAAATTTTCACCAGATCAACTATTTAACTTTATTATAAGACCTCAGCATTATTCAATACCTGTAATGTATGTGGCAAGCTCGCCCAAAACTCCAAGTTTGGAATTATCTGCATAAGTCAGAGAAGAAAGATGTCAGATTGTAGCATTGCACAAATTCAATGTCAAAGACAGTCCAACACAAGCAAAGTCAGCATGAGTTTTATATAACAATACTGCACTCGATGGGGAAAAAAAGATGTGTATTGTCAGGAATAATACTCAAGCCAACAAAGCATCTTCGAACATTGGATCAAACTTACACCATGGTTACTTCACTGACACCTGAGGTAGCTAAAATTTTCCAAACAAACCAATTTTATTTCCTGAGTAAAATGTTAAACAGTTTACATTAAGAGAATTAATATTTTCCACTTTGCCTGAAATTCATTAACTTGGGATCAAACTTATTAACTTGATCAGACTGATTATGATCTAGTTCAAGGCCTCTTATAAGTAAAAGGCGCTCTGGTGGGATCTTCATGGTCAGAAAGTCTTTTACAGCCAGTTTAATAGTGAACAAGTGGCATTGCTCCTTTGGCCTGAATCAAGGAATCCCTTAGATGAGATGCTATTATTTAAAAGATTCTTTCTCAATCCCTGAATAATTTGGAGAGAGACAAGAGAAAGATAGGAAAAGAAACTTCAACAATCCTGTAAGATTTGTAACTGTCACCAGTGACGTGCACTTGGTGCAGTAAACTACAGCTCGAGTAAAACTGCAAGCTTACACACAAAGAATGACAAAAACCTACCACTCTCTCTTCTAGCAACGAATCATCTTATGACTCCTTAGTGTGGTGAACTTTCTCTATGCAGATATAGAGTGGAATACTGAATGCATTTTTCGCATTTTTCTAACTGGTATAAATTAAGAAGCAACAAATCCAAATCATTGACATCCCAATTTGATTAATTTGCCTCCAACACAAATTTAAGGTCAACTGATCAAAGCTCTGCAACATGTTTTCATCTCAAAGTTCATAATTATCCTCCTTGATGTCACCATTATTCCCTATCAACCACCACCATGCATCACTATCTATAACTGCAATATTTCAATATCTTCACCACCCCGAGGACCAAATCTGTAACTATATTATTAAGTCCTGTCTTGCTAATAAAAAAAGATGTCTTATTCATAAAAGACTCTTACTGTAAAATCAATGGAACCCACTATTCAGTATTCTCATCCTTTTGCTTTGTCTCTCAACAGAGTTGTTTAAGTTTATATATAGCAGCTAACTCCCCCCCCCCCCCACCACCACCACCACACACACAAACCACAAAGGCCAAAAACATCACCTGTAGTCAGAATTTGACATTTAAAAATTAGAAGACAAATATACATCCTAATACACAATTTTTTTCCTTCCTCGCATAACCACCTTGCTATGAGATTGTTACATCTCATATTTTTCTTAGGTAAAAAAGTTTGACTCTATTACATGTTTTAGGCTTTTAGCTGCCTACTTTGTGTATCACATATGTGTATTTATCTGGTGCCGACTTAGTTATCTTGAGACAATCACTTACAGTAGAGAGTAGAATTATTTTGATAACCGAGAAATCCGTCTATGACCCACCGCCCTTTGGACCAATCACAGCCTTCTAAACTCGGTGGATAATGGGCCCGCCCCTCTACCCTTCTCCACTTAAATATAGGGTTTCACTTTGCATGGTCTGGGACTTGAACCTGCGACCTAAGTCACAAATCCTCCACCTTTTGCCACTCGAGCTAGGCCTTGGGGGCCCAGTAGAGAGTAGAATTATGCTTTTGTAGCAAAAGGAAAAAAGGAGGATAGGGCAGCAAGAGGCCAGTCAAACAGAGATATTGTGGCCAAAGAAGTCTGGATAGGAACTCTCATGCAACTATTCTGATAACAGAAAATGAAGACATAAGACAGACAGAAGAGAGTAAGAGAAGTAACATACGTCTATCCCACGAATGCCCAAAGAGTAGTACCGATAGACTGCACCACCCACCAAGTAAACTCCAAAGAAGAATAGGATTCTGTCCAGTGTTTATCAACCAATCAATCAATCAGTGAGAAGGAAACTCAATTACCTAGTCTATGTTTTTAACCATTAAACCTTACAGTATCAACATGGTACCAAACCAGCCCATTCCGTTCCCGTGAGAGGATATAATCAATGCACAGCCGGAGGGGTGATGTATTTTCGTAGCCTGCCAACAAAAAATAAAGCATGAACTCCACATCGATACTATCCATAAGAACAAGGTTCTTGACAAAGTTAAGAGGATGAGATATAAAGAGGAGATTGAAGAATGCACCAGATTGTGTGTTTCATATGTATGCGAAACTAGGAAGAAATCTGAGCATGCAATGCATATTGCAACAAGGTCTGCTGAGTTGGACACTTCAGACCAAACAAGCAACCACTAACTTGGTGCCTAGGACTAATATTCAATCTGCTCCCAGAAAATTATGCTGCTATGATCAATGTCTTGACGAGGGGTTCTTTCTTTTCACCTAGCATGTCACTAGAAACTATTATCCCCACATCAACTCAATGTCATGTCAAGGTTCCCATCAACTATGCTGCTTGAACTCTTCAAAAATGTCAACAGTGGTGTTGGATCCTTCAAAAGTAGTGCATTTTCAAAGAATCCAACACGGGTGCGGCATCATTTTTGGAGGAGCAACATAGCCCATTAAAGTGCCTCCCATCTCCAAGACTACTTGCACCACTAATCACATTTACAATTTTGATTTGCTGATCCATTTTATACCATGCTAGACTATAAGAAATCATCATAATGTGGCTGTCCATACCAAGGCCTGTTACCTTATTGCCAGTTGAAAGGAAAAACACATTTTTATTTATTTTATTAACCAAGATCCTTTTCTTAATATAATGACATCAAATACTCCTATGAGTGACACAAAGTACTGCACATGAGATTGAAACATTGACATTCAGAGTACTTACGTAATCACAAGTCCCAACTAATTCAAGTGTTTGAGGACCCTGACAAAGGAATGGAAAAGAAAATCATATGCTGAATTCCAATGAAATGTCACTGGAGAAAAGTACAGCCGATATACAAAGGAAAACAAGCCCTTACTTGAACTCCATTTGTATCACATACAACAGACACAGCAAGTGAACAGTTGGACTTTGAACCTCTGTTAGACAGTTTAGCTGTGATGCCTTTGAGCGGATCCGTTTTGTCTGCCATATTAATAAACGCAAGAAAAGGCATTAACATTTCCAATTTAATCTAGTAAAGTTGTCTCCGCAGGTGATTGCAGATTATATCTGCATGAAAAAATGCTACAATTCGTAATTACTAATTGTGTACCTAAAAACAAGAAGAAGAACAAGTAATTGATAATTGACTTCTCTCCTTTAATCTGAACTAAATAATTGACGGATTCTTACCAATGAGTTCAAAGGACGTGCTTGATGAATATCCAAGAGTAGTGCACACAGGATAACCTGCACTAACCATACTAAAACAATTAAAGGAAATAGAACAAAGAATCAACTTGTGTAAAGTTAGCTAGATTTTCCGAAGAGTCGATGTATGTGCTCATGATATACTTGTAAATACCACACCATCTCGGCATAGTATAAATGGATTCCTTTGTTTTATCACAAAAGGAAAAGGGAATACATATCATCTGTTTGTCTGTTGTATATACGATTTATATGTTCAACTTAAACATGATATTCTGAAGGTAATACCTCTTTATTCTTCTTTAGATTCCCTTTGAAGAGAAATGGTGATGTACCAAGAGTACATGCATAAACTAAACAGAGGATGAATAAAATCCCAAATGTTCATTCTATTTAGCTGTGTCACTACTTTGGCCAATCAATATAGTAAAACTTTACTAGGCAAGTGAAAATAGTTGACTTGGAGAAGAAGAGAATGTATACAGCTAGGATCACTAAGGGCATCAAGAAGATGCAAAAAGATAAAAAAAGAGATGAAGTCAGCTCTATACAAAAGATTAAGCTTAATACTAAGGAGCTGAAAAAATAAAAAAAAACTGTTCAGTGTTTGTTATAGGGGTCAGATTGCACCAGCTAAACAGAGAAAGTAAGCATTTAGCCTTCAGGAAGTGATTATGACTTGAGACTATCAAAACATCCAGGGTTTCTTTCTGTAAACACCAAAAAGTACAAGCAGGTATCATTGACCAGATTTTCTTGATGATTTATCAATGTTCCAGGAACTCCATCCTTTATAGTTGTTCTGTCTACTTGCAATGCAAAAAAAGATGGTTGATTGTCTCAGTTTGTTCCCCACATAGAAAACACCTTGCGACTAATTGATGACCCCTTTTACTTAGGTTTTCCTGTGTCAAGACTGCCTCTTTAGCCAAAAGCCATATCATGTGTTCCTATCTTGTTGCATGTGTATTGGATACTAGAACTTCAAACTAATTTCGCAAGCACAACTGCTTTCTTTAAGCCTTTTACAGACTCAACTCTCAACAATAATTGAGTAATTGACCATTCACTCATGCTTTCATGAGAACAAGCAACTGGAAATCCATTGTTGTTTATCTGATATTTTATTTCCTGGGAGTTCATCAATCAAAGCAAACTAACTTTTTATTAGGCAAGGGACTCTATCAATCGTTCAGAAAGCACTTCCAGAACCAATGCTCATAAAGTCATTTGAATTGAAAAAACTCCTAGGAAAAACATCTTACTCGATCATTTGCATGACACGGTGACAATTTTTTGTGTGTGTTTTATTCTTTTGTGCAACATGGGACCTGAAGAGATATGTCATGTGGCTAGATTGTTGGTCACAATTCACAACATCAGTTTCGTCAAAGGACTTATTTTTTCTTTTCTTTTTAATAATCATAGTGTCCCCGTCAGCTTATGCACCTCAACTAATTCCATGGATACCTGACACCTCCCAGGCTCCCACCAGCAGAAGTACCAAGTCTTGGTTCCCTATCATATATTTTCTCCAGGTCAATGAACACAATGTGTAAATCTTTTTTACACTCGCAATAAATCACCATCAATCTTAATATAACCTCCATTGTAGAGCTATGGGCATAAATCCAAACTGATCCTCTGTAGCTCTTGTATTGTCCCTAAGTATATGCTCTATCACGCTTTCCCAGAGTTCCATCGTACAACTCATAAGTTTAATACCACGATAGTTCACACTACTTTTGAATATCTTCTTTGTTCTTATAAATTGGAATCACACTATCCCAGTACTCTTTCTCCACTTGACAGGCATCCTACCACTTCTTAATATAGCATTTAATAACTTGACAAGCTATCCCAATCCAATCTCCAAGGCACTTACAAACCTCTATTGGGATACCATCTGGACCACATGATTTTCTATCCTCATATATTCCATGATATAATTTACCTATTCCGACCTAATTATATGAGTGCAGCTAAAGTTTCTATAGCGGGTGTCCTAAGATGCTGGAAAAAGGATGGCATGGTAAGTACGAAGGAGGAGAGATGGAAGATTGTCCCAGCTTGTATTTGGTGGTCAGTTTGAGAGGAACAAGAGGTGTTTTGAAGGAGTACAAAGCAGCTTACAGATTCTTAAGATGTTGCTTAGGCCTATTTTATTTTTGGTGTGAGCAAAAACTATTAGCTCAACAGAAGACGTTTTTGATGTTTTAGACTTTTTGTAAGGATAACTTGAACCACAAGATGTAAGTTGTAATACTTTTGTTGGGGAACTATACCTGTTGGTGTAGTATACCTGTAGATATATAGAAGTAGTGTTACCTTTCTCAAAAGAAAAAGTTCCTATAGTGTACAAACGTATGGAGATCCATAATGTGCATATATCTTCCCCTCTTCTTTTCCTCAGAACTTATGAATTGCCTTTGCAATCAAACGTTCAACAGTAACAACTAGCAACAGACACAACCCCATGGTGTTCAAAGGTGGTTGTGAGCCCCCATGGTGTAGGAGTCTGGAAAGCAATCAGATCCCTCTGGTCTTTGATGGCCGGAAAAATTAGTTTAAGAGTGGGCAAATGGTAGGAAAATTCTTTTTTGATGTGATAATTGGCTTGGGTATGGACCTCTAAAGGAACTTCTTCCTGAAATTCTTTAGCATTGCCACTATGCCAGTCATTAGTCTGGATTCAGCAATACACTGATGGAATATTACTTTTAGAAGGCTACTGCATGATTGGGAGTTGGAACGAGTTGTTGAATTTTTCAAGACCTTGGAATCATTCCAAGGGATCAAAGATACTGAAGATTCACCTATATGGAAGCCCACTAGTAAAGGAACTTATTCAGAAAACTTAACTTATAACATCCCGCTTAGGCACAGACAATCAACTAATCAGTGGCCATGGAGATCCATTTGGAAGATGAAGGCTCCTTTTAAGGTGGTATGCTTTTCTTGGCTAATAGCAAGAAATGCTTGCCTCACACGGGAAACTTCAAAGAAGGGGATTCCAACAGTGTTCTAGATGCTTTTTGTGCGGAGCTGCTGGGGAAAATAAAAGTCACCTATTCAATCATTGTCCTGTTACTGGACAATTATGGCAACTATTGTTGAACATGGTAGAAATCAGATGGTCAATGCCAGTAACAAATGTTGATTCACTGAAATGTTGGAACCAGAATGATGGGGCAATTAGTAAGAAAAATTGGTGGAAACTTGTCCCTGCTTGCATATGATGTACTATTTGGAAGGAGAGGAACTATAGAGCTTTTGAAGACAAATATAATTTTGTGGAGAAAATCAAGACGAATTGTATATTTTTGTTTTCTTTTGGTGTAAAGAAAGCTAATGCTGAGTAGGCTGAATCACTAGTTGATATGATAGGATCCTTGTGAAGCAGTGGCCTAAGCTTGGTTGGGATTTTGTGAAGTCTTTTTGAACTGTTATGGTGTAACTTTAATATAATATATATATACAGTCGTAACCCGTTTCAAAAAAAAAAAAAAAAACAGACACAACCCCACAATAGCTTTTAGTTCCTAAAATAGTTGGCACGAGATAGACATATGGACAACAATTTCTTTCAAAAAAAAAAAAAAACAGACACAACCCCACAATAGCTTTTAGTTCCTAAAATAGTTGGAACGAGATAGACATATGGACAACAATTTCTCACATACTTTTTTATACATGCTCATCTTGCTTAATCCATTGGATATGGAGTACATAAAATCTTAAGCTTTCCTTTTTTCTCCTTTCTTTAGTGGTATTCTCCTTGTCATGTCCAAGTATTGAAACCATTTAAGTCATAATGATTTAAACATCTCTTGACAAACCAGTCCTCCGCCATAACTTGAAAGGACACTTTCAGAAAGTGTGAAAAAAATAAAGACAAGACATGTAACGATTTAAATGTAATAAAGTGAAAAAGAAATCCCAGATACCCATAACTTCAGTAGTATTACCTCCAATAATGTTAGCCACGAGGGCACTACAACCCATACCACAGCGAGAAATACCACCACAGTCCTGCAAATGTAAGCATGTTCAAGTTAGAGTTGTCTACGTGGTGAGTAAAGAAAACTAACATTTCTGAAAATCGTTATCATAGCCAAGAAGTTTAAATTTCACATCTAAAAGACAGAATATTCCTATACATGGCTGATGGGCCAAATAAGTCCAAGCTGCATGTGATAAATAAAATCACTTGAAGATGCTTTACCAAATATAATAAATAGGCAAACTTCATTTATGTACATCTTGGTTACTTTCTAATGTTCAATATGTTTGAGCAGAACATAAATTTATCTTAGCATAGTTGATAGTCTTCTAAACTTCACCCCCCAGATACCCACAAATGATGTTATATATTTCCAGTGGCAAATCAAAGATATCAAATAGTCAATATTCAATCTTTGATATTAAGATAAACAGAAGAATCACTAATTCTCAAAAAAACAAAAAACAGAAAACAAATCAATGAACATATAAGGTATTATGCTTAGCAAAACTCTAATAATCGGTAGAATTTTTCAAAAGAGAATAACGGAATCTATATAACTTGTGTTTTTTTTAATAACCGTAGCGTCTGGTTCAACTTGTTTGGAACTCGATAATTCCACGAGATACCTGGCAGCTCCCACCAGCAACAACTATTGTACACCAAGGTTGGAGCAGGTACCAGAGTCTATAACTGGTTTCATAGTCTCTCCTAGTATGTTAATATATTGTTTATTCTGCAGCATTTCCTGATTTGTAGAACTAGGGTAGTTTAATCTGCAACCCCACATTAGTTGTGTATTTGGCAGCTACTAGAGTACTATTGTTACGAGAAGGTTAGCTAATTTTCTGTTGCACACGATAATTTACATTTCATAGGGTTAACTATAGAACAACTTTGTCTCCTCTAGCAATGATAATTGGCAAAGAAACACAGATGTAGTTTGGCAAGCACTTACCCCACACTCAACACAGGTAGGAGGATCATGGTTGAAAATCATTGCATCACAAAGCTGCTCCATAAGCAGAGAGGAAACAAAGTGAGATTCAGTAAAGTATTAGCAGTTGCCAAGTTTAACCAGTAACAAAATCCAAAAAACTTTTTTTCCCTCATCACAAGATGTAACTGCCACTTGTATTAACCATACATATAACAGTTCAACTACATTATGCTTCCTAAGTGAACACAATGAAACCTATAATGGCTCATTCACAGATTTAGTCACTTAACAATAGCTACACATCATACTTCTTGTCCATAGACCTCAGACATTTGGGAGCTAATAAAATACCTTTTTCTCTCAGATAAGGGGGGAACTTATAAAATACTCAAGTACATAGTTAAATAGTCAATGAGCAAGCCTCAGAAAACCACTGTGAAATTGAAAATCAAACTAAGCATGACAGTGTAACCTGATGCAGCCAACCTGAAACCATAGCACAGTCCCATTAACAGCCACCTTGTAGAACCTGAAATTATGTACAAGTACAGAGTACTTTAGTAAAAATGCCATCCCACAACAAACTAACAAAAGCAGAATTTTCTTTGACCTGAAACTATAGATGTCAGAGCCCTTCAGTAGAAATGCCACCCCGCAACAAACTAACAAAAGAAGAATTTTCTTTGAGCTTTGAATCTATTCTCCTCTATATTAGTCCATCTTATACCAACACTAAATAACGTCTTATAGGCAAAGTAGAAGTTCTTTCTATGGAATTGGAGATCACTAAATCACACACTTATCCTTAACACAGACATACATCTATTCTCCTCTATATTAGTCCATCTTATACCAACACTAAATAACGTCTTATAGGCAAAGTAGAAGTTCTTTCTTTGGAATTGGATTTCACTAAATTACACACTTATCCTTACACAGACAGAGAAATCTCTAACCAAAACAAAACACCCCTGACAAAACCTGGACCTAATATAAAAATACAACACTAAGCCTCAATCCCAATCCAACAAGCTGGTATATACTCCCTCTGTTTCAATTTGTTTGTCTCTTTCTTTTTTTGTCGAGATAAACAAAACTTTCCTTTTTAGTCCGTTTCGAAAGAATGCGTCTTTCTTTTTTTGGCAACTCCTTAATTCTAATTTACAAAGCATGTTTAAGACAACAGGATTAAAAGACATTTTAGTACATTCCACGTATCTTTAGTTTAAGACCATAAGATTCACAAGTATTCTTTACATTCTTAAACTCTATGTCAAGTCAAAACGAGACAAACAAATTGAAACAGGGGAGTATCCAATATGTTCTGTTCTTTTTTTTCTTTTTTTTATGACCTTGGTATCTGGGCCAACTTTCGCACACCTCGACTGATTCCACGGGGTACCTGCCACCTCCACCAGCAACAGGGATAGATGGGAAAAATCACCTAGTTGTTTTTGTTTCCGCTATGTTCTGTTCTTAGCTAAGAACAATGGCATATATTGTAGTAAGATGAAAATATCAATATGGAATCCGAACAATGTCATTTCTCATATCTCATCAAATCACTGCACTAGCTTTCCCCATATTTCACTATCAGCCCAATATCATCAAATAGTGTTTCTCATATTTCACTATCAATCACATAACTGCACTAGTTTTCTTATATCTCAACTAATCTCGAACTAACAGAAAAGTGTAAGTTATGGAAAGTTAGCAAGTAAAAAAGAGAAAGAGAGAGTACCCATCTTCACTGAGGATGCCATGAGGGAAATTACGAATTGGGTTCGTTAAGCTGTAATTGTAAAGCTTATTGCCTTGTTCAAAACTAAGCTGACACGTTCCATAGACCGAAGTAATGATGGTGGCGAAGACTAGTGGAAACAGACGAAGTAGATGGCGATTTGGGAAACTGCCACCAATTGTCATTTCAAATTCCTAAAACTACATAAGCAGCAATTTATTGGGTTGTGAGAATTTTTGCAGTAATTGAAGGTTTGTTTTTTTGATCTTTACAGAAATGAAGTCGAATCTTGCTTCGGAGGGGAGGCTAGCGAACAAGATGAACTCACGGCGGTTTTGGATGTGTGTCCTTATAGCTAATTACGGACTTACTAATTAATGAACTAATTACTATTAGTTTGCAATATTATAAATTTTATTATATTTTGAATTTCAAATATGTGTATATGATGTGTTTATATAAATATGCATTTCGGATATATATTATCATTTAATTTGTTTTAGATACACTATATGATGATGAATTTGTATGTATTTGACTCTCTCGCTTATCTTTTTTCTATCTGAGTTACCATTCTCTTATTTGCTCGTCTCTCTCATTTTATCTGGATAGTAGATACACATATTTAATGTAATTCACTGTTGGGATATATGCTATTAATCATGTGTTTAGATATAATTATTTTTTCATTTTTAATAGATCCTATATTCGTTTTTTGTGTCTGTTGCTTATATATTACTTAGATGATTTAGTGTATAGAGTTTTAGCTTATACACAGAGGATTAATCATCGGTTCTTATAAGTATAAAACTTTTTGTTCACAATCTAAGATAGGAATTGGACATGTCATCGGTACGATTGTAGCACAAGATTATATGTAGTTTATCTTGATTATGGGAATGGTATAGTTCCAACTTCTTGTGCTAGTGCATTTTGTATGTATTGAACGGGACCGGGTAGAGATAGTTGATTTAGACTGACTGATAAAAGCATAATTCTCTAAACTATTAGATGTACTTATATTCTTTATTCTGATATAACAATTATGATATGTATATGTTATTTATCGTTTTGATTTATTAAAAGGTGAGATTCTAAGTTGGGTTAATATGTCTGGTAGATTGAATGACGATTATATATATTGGTGAAAAATAAGTTAGCTGATGAAATTCATGTCTCGATATAGAGATTGATGATATGACTTTTTGAGAAGCTTATAAGTTTTCATCGTGTCAAACCTTGCAAGTGGATCTATGAATCCGACACATGAAATAAGTTAAGTAGTGCTCTAAAGAAAATTGATCATTGAATTAAATTCGTCAGTAATTTAATTTATTGATTAGTATCTGTAATCTTAACATGAGGAATTATGTTTAATGAGAAATTTTGAAATATAAATAGAGGAGTGCAGTTACGAATTTCTAATGGAATGATCTGTAATTTATTATGGCAAGAATAATTCAAATTAATTATTTGAAATTCTTTTCATAATAGGAAGGCTCAGTAATTAATTATGTGGTTCCTATCATGATCATATTTAACTAGAACTCAGAATATATTCTAAGGGAAAAAGGAAGAAGTACATGTCTTTTTCTATTCTAAGGAAAGGGAGAAGTACATGCCTTTTTCTATCCTAAGGAAAGACTATGTGTTTCTTCTCCTCATTGGACTAGGGAAGAAATCTCTATAAATAGTGATTCTTCTAACCCTTGGATTCTTCATTAGATTCACTTGAAGGTATCTGCTCACGCTTCAAGAAGTAATTCTTGAATTAAATTTCAGAAAGTTTATGTGTTCTAACATGATTGTACTTGTTCTAGCATAAACTATGTGTTGTCTATTATTCATATAAGTTGTATGATTCTGATATGCTTCCGCTGTGCACATAGTTTTCCATCAATCACATGCATCTAGAAATGATTTGTATGTTTATGGAGATCTCACTTGCCTCCCTCTGTCCTCTTTCCTTCTCTTGCTCGCTTCTCTTTCTACTTTAATGTATCTAGCCATAAAAATACATGTATCTAGGTATATTTGACTTGATATTTGGTATGAAATTATTAATTAGTGAGACAATATATAATTATTTCAAATTATAGAAAAATTAAGGGAAAGGACATAAAATCCCTCCTGAACTTGACACAAAAACTTACTTTAGTACTTAAACTACATGTGTGTTTATATACCCTCTTAACATCTTTCAAGTGATTAAAACACCCCCTAAGGGATGATGTGACAGAGAGAGTGAGTGTACTCTCCTGTAAGTGCGTGAAAAAAGAGAAAAAAAAAACTGAATTTTTAAAGCCCTACACATGGCCTTTTTTTATTGGCCAATATATAACAAATTATTTAAATAGTTTTTTTTATATATATTAAATCTTTAAAATATGTAAATTTTCTTATTAAGAGGTAAATGAAATTAGTGGGTCCCCTTTTTTATTTTTATTTTGTTGTCTTCTTCAATACACATTTTTCTCCATTGAAACATCTCTTCCTCCATCTTCTTCCCCACCTCTATCCACTATTTTCATTTCACTAATCTTTTACTAATCCGTAAAATTCAATAGCAATGTCATTTTATTGACGTCGATTTTACTATATTATTTGTATCGATTTGACAAATGTAAACTTTCTTAAATTTTGAGCGACCCATTTTGATTTCTAGATTATTCAAACATTTCTCATAAAATTCATATTTTTTTTGGATCAACTTTCTTATGCAATCTTCATTTATTATTTGAGTTGTCAAGAAAAAATTGGCTTTCAAAAAAATCCGTTCTCCAAGATGGTAAATTCATTGGGAGGGTTCGAAGAAGATAATGTGAATTTCTTCTTTAAAGTGACTTAAAAAATTGTTGAATAGTGAAGAAGAAGAAAAGAAAGTATTGAAGGTTGGAATAATGGTGAACAACAAGGAAGAAGAAAGAGAGGGGGTGGGCATGGGGGGTGAGAGTGGGGGTGGGGGTATGCATTTATGAATTAATCAATTGATATAATTAATTTTAAAAAGTGTTTAAGAAAAAATAGTGAATAAGTAAAAAAGAAATAAAGATTAATGACATGGTGCCTACATGGTTATGATGTGGCGCTTACATGGCTATGATGTGGCGGGTGAGAGTAGTGTTATAGTCTCAAGGTGAAAAAAATCACTTCAAAGATCTTAAGGGAGTATTTAAATGTCCGTGTAGTTTAAATACTAAAGTAAGTTATCCGACCAAGTTCAGGTTTTTTTTTTATGTATTTTCTCAAAAATTAATAAATATGATATGAATGTTTATGTACTTGGGTAATTTTTTCTTTCTTTTTCTGTTTCTAATATATTTCTATTTTATGTTAACTATGCACAATTAGTTAATGTCCCTTAGGGTCATGAGAAAATGATCTCTTGTGACTAATTTATGAATTGAATAAATTTTTATTTTTTTAATATTTTTAATTTGTGAAAATGAAATTTTAATTAAAAAGAAAACAAATCATTCTCTTGTCATTTGTCAAATAAAATAAATGGGGTACAACATGCATAAAATATTCCTAATATTATTGAATATTTATCAAATAAGGAAATACTATTTCATTTTTTGAAGTCCTATAAGAAAAAAGTTATGTCATATAAATTATGACAAATATATTATATAAATTGTCACTTTTAATATAATTTGTTGTATTTGTGCTATAGAGCTTTGCATCCCTAAAATAGATATAAATAATAGTCTCCAATCGTCATTTGTCAATATATGATCACACGACTAGCTAAACTCTCCTCTCAATTTAGACATGATAAAATGAATATAAATCAAGCATAAACAATACTGAATTTAAATAACCTCTCAATTTAATATCACAATTTACATGCGTCCCAAAAATTAATTTATCAAATAAAAATACAAGAAACAAATGAAATGTATATCTACCTAACCCAATTGTCAAATAAAAATCTTTATTTCAACTTTACCCCACAAATGAATAATCCAATTTTGGTGACAAAGAACATTGCATTAAAGAGAGAAAAAATAGGAGAAACTTTCCAACTTTCCTGCAGAAATAACGCAATTTTTTATATATTTATATAATTGTGATATTTTGACCAAATATTCAAAATAATATTTTTCTCAAAGTAAATATTTAAAATTATTTCCAAAATCGGCCAATGTGATGGTGCCGAATAGAATTACTCATCTTTTAATAAAGCCTTATGCATTACGAATATTCAAAACAATATTTTTCTCAAATCAAATATTTAAAATTATTTCCAAAATTGGCCGATGTGATGACGCCAGATAGAATTACTCATCTTTTAATAAAGCCTTATGCATTATGAATCTAAATTAATCTTTAAATATAAATATCGAACATCGAAAATAAAAAAAAATCATTACCAAAAGCAAAATTGATAGACGACCTTTTGCTCGAATGCCACGAGCCTTCCACGCGCTGTTATGCACTACTCAATCCTATCCATCCACGTGTCATCCATCCAACGGCTGTAAGTCCTCTCATGTCGGGTTTTTCATCATCTACTTACTATAATCATCTTCCCTCTTTCATTTTCTCTTGATTTCTTTCTACTGATAATTGTTCAATTTCTGCATAAGTTTCAGTATTCATCATCATGCTTCTAAAAGTGGCACCTGCGTTTGCGTTGTTGAACACCCATGGGGAAAATTTGAGTTCCGTGATATCATTTTCTTCACATGGATCTGTTTTGAAGAATTTTTCGGCAAAAAGTGGAAATGGATTGATTGTATGTGCTTCAAAGGGTTCGAACAGCAAACCGTTGACGGGTGTTGTTTTCGAACCCTTTGAAGAGGTGAAGAAAGAGCTTATGCTTGTACCTACTGTTCCTCATGCTTCTCTTGCTAGACAGAAGTTCACTGATCAATCTGAAGCTGCTCTTAATGAACAGATCAAGTGAGTTTTTTTTTAATATTTCTAAGATTTATCCATTTTTTTGCTCTTTTTTGATGGTTTGCTTTTTATTGTATTATTTTGTTGTAGTTATTGGTCGTTTGGTAGCATGGGTTACTAGAAATATTATACATGTATTAGATCATGCATAAGTAATATCATGTTTGGTAATTGGTTATAACTATATATAAAATTAATAGCGTATTTGATTTGCAATTTAGAAACTTGCATAACTAATATATGTATGTTAGGAGGAAATCTATGTATAATTTTAGATAGGATAGAAGATGGAGTAATTAATAGATGAATAACTAAACCCGGCCTAACTAATTCCTGCATAAAATAGTACATAAATTTACTCAAAACTGATTTATGTATTACTAATATCTGCATAACTCTAACCAGCTACCAAACGATTCCTACTGCTCAATAAAATTGCTTTGGACTGTTCCTTTTGAGCCGTCTAGCAGAAACAACCTCTCTACTTCTGAGTTAGAAGTAATGTTTGCGTACACTCTAACCTCCCCTGACACCACTTTGTGGGACTATAATGGGAATAGTGTTGTCATTAACATGGGAAATTCATGTAAGTGACCACAACTAGTTTGAAATTGAGGGTAGTAGTAGTTGATATGTTGTTTTTGTTGTGTTTTAGAAGTGGTGTTCAAAACATTTCACTCTTAGCAAGGGAGGAATGCGAAATTTTCCAATCTCATAGATACATATAGAATTCTGAGGAAATAGAACTGCCTTAGCGGAGACTAAAAATAGTGACTATAGAACTGCCTTAGCGGGGCTAAAAATAGTGACTATGTCTTCATGCTTTCAAAAAAAGAAAACACCTATCTATACGGGGCATTATTTGTCTACTTATTGCATTAGTCGTGTCTATTTTGAAGTCTTTTTAACTCGTTTGATGTGAAGCCCTTCCATACGTGTATGAAACTTCAATCAGTCCTAGTTGATTGGTCAAATGAGGATTATGATTTCTCACCTTTTGGAACAACTTCTTATAGTTCTGTTACTATCTATTTATGAGATTGTTTTGTATTTTTTGTGATTGCAGTGTGGAATACAATGTTTCGTATGTTTACCATGCTATGTATGCCTATTTCGACAGAGACAATGTTGCTCTCAAGGGACTTGCCAAGTAAATATTCAAAGACTCTTCCAAATCGATGAGTTTGCCGTGTGGATTTTGTTTAATGGTTTGTGATTATATGTTATTGTTTTGGTGATATAGGTTTTTCAAGGAATCAAGTGAAGAGGAAAGGGAACATGCTGAGAAATTCATGGAGTATCAGGTGTTTGAAAATTTGCCTTTATGAAATTTTGTGTTACTGCTTTTTATCTTTATGATTTGTGCTTTGTGTTTGGGGGAGTGGTTAATTCTAGCATCTGGTTGTATATGCTAATTGGGTTGCTTCAACTTCTTGTATTACTTGGATTTAGAACAAGCGTGGTGGGAAAGTGAAGCTGCAGTCTATTTTAATGCCATTATCTGAGTTTGATCATGCTGAGAAGGGGGATGCATTGTATGGTAAGTTTGTTTTCTGTTCTCTTATTTTTTTTCCTTAATAACCATGGTGTCCGGGCCAACTTGCAGTTACCTCGACTTATTTCATGGTTACCTGCTATAGGAAGAACTCACCTAGTGTTTTTGCCTTGAGATGTGAACCTAAGACTTCCTTTTTCTCCACCCGCTTTATTGAGCATTAGGCCACATCCTTGAGTGCTGCACTTTCTGTTGTATGTTGTAATCCTACTTTTGTAAGGAGATGTTTTGATGATACTAGTAGAAATGGTTGTCTAGATTATAAGTTCCTAGAAATGTTTACTCTGTTCATCAGATGTCTATGTTGACAACTTGACATCAAAAGAGATAAAATTAATGTTGCAGACGCCAGTATGCCTTCGTACTCCCAAATGCCTAATATTTACTATATACTCTTCCTTGTGAATTAAGAAATATGAAAGTTCTTTTGTTGTTAAACACTGAGAAAAAAAGGAGATTGAGCTTTCAGTTACTTACCGCATAGTTTGTTGAATTTATTCTGTAGCAATGGAGCTTGCACTTTCTTTGGAGAAGTTGACAAATGAGAAGCTCTTAAACTTGCATGCTGTGAGTTTTTCTACTATTCTTTTTTAGTTGTATCCACAATCATTTGGATCAATTTGAAATAGACAACCATTGTGTTGGTTTTCGATGACATTGAACAAAAAAGTTCTGCATCTTGGTTTTTCATAATTTGTCACTATACATATTGACTGCTCTTTAACTTTTAAAAACAGGTAGCCACACGAAACAATGATGTGCAGTTGGCTGATTTTGTTGAAAACAAGTACTTGCAAGAACAGGTCTGGCTTCTTTACTATTTGTCTAATGGAGTTGTTAAGTCTCAATACTAATGCATGATACTATTTTAATTTTTAAGACATGTTCATCCTTTGTTTCTTTTAACTTTTAAGACGTGTTCTCCTCATTAGGTGGAAGCAATCAAGAAGATCTCGGAATATGTAGCTCAGCTGAGAAGAGTGGGCAAAGGACATGGTAGGATCGCGCTTCCTTGTGAATTCCTTATTAATTAATTATACTGTTCCCCTTGTACACTATTCATATAAACCTTAACTTTTCAACGTCCTTGGCTGCAATTTAGGTGTCTGGCACTTTGATCAAATGCTCCTGCATGAGGCGGAAGTTCTTGCTTGATGGAGAAGATAGACTTTCAACTTTCTACGAGTACAGTGCCCTTTTGGAGGATGTTGTCTGGGTATATTTTGGCATTAGCCTTTTCTATGAGATAAGATATATAAGGTGTTTTGGTGATCGAAAGTCCCGGTGCTGTACATATAGACCAAATAGATGTAGTTATCTGTGCTACTTATTAGTACCCTCCTGGTGTTCAAATCAGTTTTAATTTCCCTTATGGTTTGCTAGTTGTAGCTTGGAATCGAAGGTGCCCCAGTGAAGTCAAATGTAAAGTGAAGTTGTTAGTTTTGTTTTTAGTTGGATGTAGGCTCATTTGGAGAAATAATAAATAATTGGAATTCAGCTGAAGTTGCTTTTTTCGGGGTTTGTTTCGATATTTTTACAAGTAATTGTAAAATAAGACTTCGTTTTTCATAGATTCTTCTCTCAATAGAGATACATGTGCACATATTACCTCCAATGTAGATGTGCACTTAATGGATATATCAATTATTTATGAAAGTGTATAGCTAAAGAATGTGGAAAGTATTTTTGTCGATATTTTTTTAAAAATAAATTATATAAGGCATCATACATAAAAAAAAAATTTAAACTTAGCTTCGGTTCATATTTATGCTCTCCAACTTTGGGTGTGTACAAATAAGCGATTAAACAAGTAAAAACACATGTGTTCTATATAGCATAATACAAGTAGGACGTGGGCACAAACTTAAGGATAATTTTATTATTATGTCATTATATAAGGCGTGTTATTCTTAAATCTTAATACAACAAATCAAAATGTATAAGAAACAATTAAGACTATTTTTATACATCTTTGACAATTGCCACGTGTCACCAACACATGAGCGTAATTGCATCATCGACTCCATAAGGTTAGGCACACAACGATTGCGTGTTCTCGATCCATCTTTGGCTTCTTCTCGAAGAAAGCACTTCACAATAAATTTTAAAAATCGACTATAAATAAAAGCAAACTGAAGGAATCAGGAAGAACTCGAAAGAAGAAATGTTGAATAACTCCATGAATGTTGCTCTGTTACTACTCTTTCAACTTCTACTCATTGCAATTGCGGTACAGTACTCAACCGCTGATGAATCCTTCGATGTTCGTCAACATCTATCAACTGTATCGAGGTTATCTCTTATTACTATTTTTCTCTTTTCAATTTGAAAATTTTGATACTATTTTAGAGAAATACGATCTGGTAATTGGTAAATGTATTAACTATTCTAAATTTTGAGCTATCTCTGAGCTGAATTTACAACTGTGAGCAGCTAAAGTTAATATTTAGAGTGAATAGGTTAAAGCCTTCGCTATTTTGCGAATTTCGTACCTAAACTATTAGGTGTTCTATGTGGCGAAATGTTTGGAATAACTTCCTGAGAGGTGCGTGGGAGATGACAATGTCTTAAAAATGAATTCAACTGGTACAATGAGAGCCTCCTATTAGACTTGCAAAATAGTGATGGTTTAGGGGTTTTCAACCTATTCACTCAAATTTGTTTCTACATGTATCACCAGTTGGAACTGTTTGGAGGAGTTTTTGGAATGTGATTTTCACATAGCATGGCATATTCTCTGGGGTATTTTAATATAAGTTTGTGGCTGTTTGGGGGTTCTGTGAACACCAAATATTTTAGGTATGGAGCTCATAACATGGTGTAAGTTTTGTGCTACTCGGTCTGTCCGAATTTATGTTGCAGTGAGTGGCACCGATTGACTTTGACACTAAGTTTAAGAAAAAAAGGTAGACTTTTGAAATTTGTGGTCTAAAACAAATCTTAGACATTTGTGTGACTATAAATCATTTCATTAAGGATAGAAGCGGAATACAAGTTAAGTTGTTTCTAATGTAGAAAGGTGACATTCTTTCTGGGGACAGACTAAAAGGGAAACCGTGCCACATAAACTGGGTCAGAGGGAGTATTATATAGATTTTTGCATGTATAAGTTGACTTGTTTTAGCATGTTACTTGAGATGGCCTTTTAAGTAACCTGAATTAAGCATAGAATTTGAAAGAAAAATTATATTAAACAAATATGCAGTTCAAACAGACGGCAGATCAGCATGCTGTCTAGTGTCTACTTACTAAATTTCAGACTGCATAGTAGAGTTTCATCTTGAGTCATCTGTGGCCAAAAGATAAGAACAGAGAGAAGTCCGCAATTTCAGTTGGCATTTGCATTATAGAATTGGGCTATTGATGTACTTGTTTATTGGTTTTGTTTTCAGGTATGATATTGTGAAGGATATATCTGATGATTCCTTTGCTCCTTCCCAAAATCTCGATCAGTGTACACCTATTCATTTGAATCTTGTGGTGAGTCTTTGCTTGATGTTTCTGCTGGTGTTGTTCTTTCTTGTGGTGCCAATGCAAAATGGTTTAGACATTTAAGTTGTACTTGTTGTATTTTCTGTTGCTATTTTTTTGTCATTACATAGAATCTTTTCTTTGCCTACACTTAATAGGACAGTGGTATGTGTAATAGTATTATCCATGTCATTCCCCTGAAAGAGCTATAGCAGCGAGAAAATTGTGGATGTGCACAGGGGCGGAGGCAGCATATAATGAGGGGGTTCATCCGAACCCCCTCGGCGAAAAATATTACTATTTATACATGGTTAAAATTATTTTTTAGGTATGTATAATAGATGTCGAACCCCCTTCCACTAGTTCGTGTGTTTACTTCTCAGATTTTGAACCCCCTTATTAAAATTTCTGGCTCCGCCACTGGATGTGCATGTGTGGGGTGCATTAAGACTCTATCACATTGTCTTGATACTCTAGGCCTTGGAGCGCATGTTGATATTTACTGAATTAACTCCACAAACTAACACAAAGTTTAGGCTGCCATTGGAAGTCCATCTACACCAAACTGCAGGAACCTTTTCTTTGTTTGTTGATTTCTTATAATGGTAGTGTTCTGCTTGTGGCTTTGTGTGCACCTCGACTAATACACTTGTTACCTATTACTTTCCATCAGCAATCTACTTGGTAACTCTATCCATCAATATTTAGACAGATGGAAGAACCTAGTATTGCCTCTGCTGGAATGCGAACCTCAGTTTGCAGGGTTGTAATCCAGCTCTTCGACCACCAGGCCACCCTCTTTAGGGCGAAGCAATCAGAAAATCTTAATTGTATTGAGATTTGGACGATGCTTTATGATGGGAAAGTTGCTGAAGGTATCCCATAAATCTAGATTGCGAGTAAAGTCATCTTATTCGCCAAAGATTATATCTGAAGATTAATGTCACTTATTTGTCATAGTTTGCTAATCTCTTCGAGACTTCGACGTTTCAGAAGTTTGAACAGTATGATCCTCAAATATTGAGTGTCCTGAATCTTGTTCACCCCTTCCGTTTCATTCGGAATAGGTTCAATCTTCTGCTGATCCGTGTCAACTACTATTTGGCACTTTATGTGTCATTTTCCCTTTTGAACTTTTTAATGGAAAATGCATAGACATCATTTGCTTCGTCTAATTTGCACAAATGTGAATTTTGATTCTCGTATGGAAATTGTGCTTGATTAAAAGAAGATATTTCAATAGGTTTCTTTCAGGTAATGCTATGCTCATGCGAGAGGGTTCTTGATTGGTAACTTCTTTAATCTTCTTATTTGGTAGGCGCGGCATGGCACTCGTGCTCCTACAAAGAAAAGGATCAGGGAGCTAGAAGCCTTTGCTGCTCGATTGGAAGTCCTTGTACGTGATGTTAAGGAACAGAAGCAGTCTTTGGATAAAATTCCTGCTTGGTTAATGGTGTGGAACTCTCCTTGGAAGGGCAAACGTACAGGCGGAGAGTTGATCAGCGAAGGAGAAGACGAGTTATATCATCTTGGTATCAGAGTCAGAGAACAGTTTCCCAGCCTGTTTAGTGAAGAATACCACCCTGCTATATATTCAATCAAGACTACCCAGGTTGACAGCTCAGTTATTTTACTTTTTAAAATCTGCATACTGACTTACTGTCAAGCATGAATAAATCCATCTCACATTTAGTGTGTGTGTGTGGTGGTGGGTGAGGGGGGGGGGGGGGGGGACAGATATTTTACCTTCCATTGCGGAAAATTCTCGAATCATTGCAGTTAATGGGAATGGAAAAAATTTGTCAACATGATAATGTCGTTAAGGAGCCTTTACTTATCAAAGGCTTATAGTTAAGGAGCCATTTATTTTTTACATAGTTAATCAGGGAGAGCAAAATCTGACTTGCAGTAATAGCTAGAGGCCACTGGATTCGAACTTCTAATACCACAGTTTTGAAAATTGTGATTCTGTGACTTGTACTTTGTTACTTCGTTATGGTATCTTTATTTATGGTGGAAAATATGTGCACACGTGTATGACTATGCATCCACCAAATAAACAAATAGCATGGAAATCTTATAGAAACTTTTTTGCATCTGGATGCCTTTCCCAATAGAAGTGGTCAGAAGATTTTGTTATAGCATTGCCTCACAATGATTTGAGAATCACACTCAACCAAAGCACATGCTCATTTTTTCATTAAATGATGCATCAAAGGATTCTGCTGCTTTGGGATCCTTGCAAGACTATTGAACTTATTGGCATTGCCTTCTTCATTATAACTACAAGTCCTCTGATCTCGTCACTAGCCATGACTTTTGACAATGATAGTGACATTAATAGGTTCCTCGGGCATCAGCTAGCGCTGTGGCATTTGGCATGGGTCTGTTTAGTGGAAAAGGGAAGCTTGGACCAGGAGGTCATCGAGCTTTTGCTGTTACAAGTGAAAGCCGTGCAAGTGATACAGTTTTGAGATTTCACGATTGTTGTCAAAGCTACAAGGTATGCTTGCAAAATTTATTTGGTGGCAGTCTTTATGTAGCTAAAATCAAAATTAATTTGCAGTTGGTAGGTTTTTGAGGTTTTCCTTGTTAATAGAGATTTCATTTTCTGATGCAAGTACATCAAATCTGGAATCTAGTGCACTGAGAAACTCAGAATACAAAATATTTCAGCTTCTAAATTCAGATTAATTTGATCACGACCATCAGAGACCCATTTTCTTAGCTGATTTTTTTTTTTTGCATTTTGACTTCAAAAGGAGTGAAGTTGATGATGATAATCAGTCTGTTTGGGTCCCAGTCATTGTTCACTGGCTATTACATAACTTTTATTCATACTAGTAACCCAGTCCCAATCATCTAAACTTCAGATAGCAACAATGCATAGAGAGGCTGACATATAGCAACAGATTTTAAGTTCCTTATTACTTTGCTAAGCCTAGTGGCATTGTTGGAATTTCAGCACTAAGAATTGTTTTCAGCAGAAACTAGTAGTCTATCTTTTCCAAATGACATGACCTTTTTCCTTAATCGGCTAAGTTCCCATCTCTTTGAAATAAGCAGCACATAAATGAAAACTCTAGAGAATGTCAACTTTGATCAGACATGCATTTTTTGAGAAAATATCTTACTTTCTCTCATCACAATCATTATTTTGAGTGTACCCTCTACTAAACCTTATCCAGATTTTGAGCTGCTAGTTGTCCAAAGTGATATGAACAACTTAAAAAGTTCATCCCTGGGAATCACCAGGAGATACTTGCCCAGAATAAAGTGCAATCGTGGCTTTGTTGATAGATAAAGTGCTACGACCTTAGGTGTCTTACCAATTTAAAAATTGAAACAGGGAAGTCTTTAAGGGAATATTTATGACTTAGGAGTCAGATATGTCCTAATTCAGATGGTTCAATGAGGTATCTTGCATCAAAGATCTTGAATATTCATTATTTTCCTAAATATCACGTTGTGTATCCGAACTTCCCTCTCCCAGCATTTTTGGTTTCTCCTGCACCTGCTTGCCTTACGGCGGATTTGGCTTCTTTCTCTATATGCAGATACACACACTACTATTTGATTTGTGAGTTGACTTAGAAAGATAGTATACATGACAGTTCTTTCTGGTGACAGGATTTTAGGAGAAGTCAGGAACCAACTGTAAAGAAGCTCAAAGAACCTGTATTAGATGAAATTACTCATGAACTAGTGAAGCAATACGGGCTTAATTTTACAAAACAGGATGTATCTTCTCTATGGTTTTTATGCAAACAGGTTAGTATTGCACTAGTGTTCCAGTGGTGCAAAACTCTTCAACATTTTATTTGTTTATTTAGATCTGAGGATAGTAATTTGTTTTTAATTGACTGCTCCAACAGGAAGCTTCACTGTTGAACATCACCAATCAAGCTTGTAGTCTATTCAGTCCAACAGAGGTATTTTGAGTTAATCCCTTTTTCCATGGTTCCTCATGAACTTAATAAACAGAAGGGAAAGTGAGGAGGGGCTTATATGTTCCTAGGTTTTGCTAGTCAATTAGTTTTGGTTCCTGTGTTGTAAGGAGCTCTCCTTTGTTTTTCTTAGGTCATAACTGGGAAAATTGGGACGGGATGCATGATTAAGCTAATTTGATTGATGTTTGATTAAAAGGTAGTCAACCCCTGTTACAAATAATTTTTTCTGGTGTACAAAGCATCTGCATTTTTTCTTTGGCATAGGAATTTGAAGCCTTGTTGTTTCAAACCATCCTTATTGACAAGTTATCATTTAGGTTTCTTTGCTGGAATGGGCCGATGATTTGGAGTTATTCATACTAAAGGGCTATGGTAATTCACTAAATTACCGAATGGGAGTGCCGCTACTTGAGGATGTAATTCAATCCATGGAACAGGCAATTAAGGCTAAAGAAGGTAATGTCAATTGAAGTAGCATTATCTCGTTTTGTTTTTCCTTGGAGGGTTGCAGGGGGGGTCAGATGGTTGTTCACTATAGTCCATTGATAGCTTATTTCTCTTGTGCCTTACCTTCCTCACACAACAAGATTTAAGAGGAAGAAATAATTCGAAAAAAGTGAAGTGAACTCCTTAATTCTTGTAGTTGTACTCAATCAAAAAGAGTTGCTAGAGATGGAGAGGAGATTATTCCCCTCCTTATCAAATGGAGGCCAAGTAGGGGAAGTATTCTCTTCTTGTAAAGAAAGACCAGGCCCACTTCGTTATATGTCATATAGATCTCATATAACCTGCGAACTTATAAATTCTGTCCATATTCCATTACTCTCTTAGTAAGCTGTCCTTTTCAATTGCTATCTAGGAGACTGTTAGATAAGAGTAGGGAGTGGAGACTTTGTTGCACCAATTACTTGATACCGTTATTTGTTAGTAATGAGTATCTTTTTTTCTCAAGATCGTTTTTGTTTTGCCTATTCATATCTTCTATGGAATTTAATCTCTTTAATGGTGGAAATTTGATATCTGGTGCTCATGTTTTATGTGATTTCTCCTCCATTAGAAGGATATGCTCCCGGGAGCTATGAAAAAGCAAGACTACGTTTTGCTCATGCAGAAACTCTGCTTCCCTTTTCATGCTTGATCGGACTCTTTCTTGAAGAATCTGGTGAGTGTTAATACAAAAAGATGGTTTTAAGCTCTACTACCTCCGGTTTCTTAATCAATTTTATGCACTTGAATGTTTCAGAATTTGAACTAATACAAAGAGAGCAGACATTGCAATACCCTCCTAAGCCTCCTAAAACAAGAAACTGGCGGGGAAATATGGTGGCACCTTTTGCTGGAAATAACATGCTAGTCCTTTACAGCTGTACGTCAGACAACTCAAGCAAGTATTTTGTTAAAGTGCTGCACAATGAACGGCCCATTCCAATACCAGTAAGTTTTCTGATTCCAGTATCCGTGGTCCTTGCTTTGGGATCATACATCAGTTATTACCAGTCTTCAAGGTTCTCCCTTTACTTCTCATTTTTAACTTCTGAAAAAGGACTCACCGGCTGTGATGTCCTTACTTCCAACTTAAAAGAGGTTTTGCCAACAGTGAAGTTACAAATTCATGAAAGTTCTCTGAAGTTGCAACTTACCTTTTTGTCCACGAACTAATCCCAGGAAGTACACAAATCTCACTAGTTTGTGCGGACAGCATTGCCTGCAATATACTCACTCATGTTTTAGTTTAGCATTCTTTTTTTAGGGGTAGTCACCACATTTCATGCATTTTCTTCACTAACTTCTAATTGGGAATGATGTCGCTTGTCAGGATAACACTCGCAAAATGGCTACTTGTTCTGCAATGGGCACAAATTTACATCCACAAATTTTTCTGCTGTCAATTATTATTCTTCCTTTCTAAGCCTTTGATGCTTCTATTTCTGTATGTTCATAGGGTTGCAATGGCTCAGATTCTTGCCCATTTGAAGTATTTAAGGTACGACTTCTTACATTTGCCAGATGATTCAATTTAGTGTGACGTCGACCATCTCTTACTTGTCATAAATGCCTTCCTACAGGAAAGAATAGCTGCTCCTCACTTGAAACATGACTACAGCGCTCTTTGCAATGTGAATTTGGAACAAAAAAAGGATTCTGCCCCCGGTATGTTCTCGCAAATGTTTGGTTGGATTTTCTCACCGAGGAATGCTGATACACCCGCCCAGAAGGTTGAGCTATAACATCTTACACGGTTTCTTTCTTTTCGCTCACCTCGTGTTTTAGATCTTGATTCAGCCAGCAACCAACAAGTGCCCTGGTGTGAGATACAATTTTGTTTGGAAAATGTATCTTGTATTATCAAGTTTTTTTTCTTTCTGGTGGCTGGTTGAACCATAGGGTAGACAAAACGAGAATTAATACCTGTAGTTTTCACATATGCAAATCTAATTGCTCAGTTGTTTTTATGCGTTTCGTATGTTTTATGTATAACTCTGCTAATGTTAATGCAAAATAACTGAGGATATTTTGGAGCCCAAAGAATCTGCAGTCCACTAGTTTATTATTGGTTTAAGTACTTCTATCCAAACACGTAACGATTTATCTATAAATTTAACTTCAAACACCTTAGTGTTCTTTTCAGAATTTGGTGCTTATCGACAACTTTGAATCAACTCTTAACCAAGCACTTAGCTGGCGTACGACACATCATATGTTAATTAGTAAGCTTACTTGCACAATTTTGCAGATCTTGATGAGTTATAATAAAATGAGAGCAGCTGCTATGCAAACCATTTACAATAGCCTGCAGGTTTTGGATTCTACCAAACATTATACTTATCTATGTAGTTTCTGAAGATGTGGGATTATCTAAATAACATTAAATCAGAAATAATGGGTAGTATAAAAGAATCAAGGGATCGTATAATGTGTCAAGTATGACAAGAGAACAAGTTACCAAAATCTCGAGCTAACCTAACCAACCTGAGGTCTACCAATTTGACCATTTACAAGCCGGTAACCTCATCACAACCACCCATGGTTTCTGCAGAATGCAATTGCATCACTCCCATCAGACCATTGTGAAACTTTGGACTATCAAATTGGAATTGCAGGCAGAACCCCTAGTATTCACAGGAGGCAAATCTCTCTCAAGCTCCACGTGATAAAAAGTTCTCTGTTGTTCTGCACAGCTGCCTTGATTAACGATGCCAGACTTTTCTTGACTGATAATATCCGTGTTATGAATCTATGTTATGTAATGTCGGATGAATAAGCTTTCCATAAGTCTCATTATGGTGAGAACACAGGAAAGGCATATGTCATGAGATTCATAGTCGATGGTAATTTGCCATTTGGGTAATGAGCATTAGAAATCATCAGCCCTATGATTTTCTCTTCTGAAATAAATATTACCATCATATTTAGACCTTTGGCAAGGGCACTTCAGTAGACAGTGAAGAAATGAGATCTTCTCGTGATTGGGATCTTCTGCTCTGGAGACGTTGTTGGCTTCTGTGTGGTGACCAGAAGGAACCTGTGGTACTACTTTCATATTGCATCTGCCCCAGGCTACCTGATGAAAAACTGTGTGCTACACTACTAGACGATGAGTATAAGGAAGATTCAGCAAGCTGGATACCGTTGCCACCAAAACAATGCACAGTGTCAAATGGTCTCTGTTGAGTATTAGCAATTGTTGGACTGAGTGGCGTCTTCACTCTTCCTTCACCTGAAAAGACAAAATTGGCATGATCTAAGAAGGATATAGGAGAAATAGTGCTGATAGGAACTGCAGTAGAAGTTACAACAGAGAACTATATAGTGTTACAACCATGGTGTCCTTTTTTCTACTTTTTTTTTACCAAGCAAAGTTTCAATATTAAATAACGAGACAGCATCACAAGTGTGTATTGTTAAACATAACTCAACAACTGCTGTTATCTTCTCACTTTAATATCATTATATCACCACAATCATTACTTCTAGTTGCCAAAAGGTAATCTTCTGAGTCAATATTAATGGTTAAATCAGAATTGCTCCTTTAGAAGATGACATTATAATTTATATGGCAGCAAGAAAAGATCATAAGTTGAGGAAACTGGCTATGAAAGAAGCATAACAACTTCCATTCAACTACACTACGTTGAAGTCCTAATATGACTATTAGATACATACTACATTGATCTGAAATCTAGATCCATTACTAGCCCTCGAGCTGCATTGACAACCGATAAAGAAACGATTGCTGTGTTGTTTGGTGCGACTTCATAAGAAAATTTGCTCTTTTTTTAATTCAGTGAAACCATCATATTTTCTCCAAATTAGACTTCAAAATGAATACTAGTAATAAAAAAGTACAAGTTTTAGTATAAAAAATTTCCAATAAACAGATAAAAATGGCACAGAGGTGAACATGCATAACAGCGTAAAGATGTTTTTGATTTGTGTATAGCATGCAAGCAATATTCCAGTCCATAAATATTATTAGTGCATTATCAGATATCCCAAAGAGATCAAGTATCAGAATAAAAAGCAATTAAATTTTATTTTTTTAATTTCCCTAACGAAGGCAGCATTCAACATATTCTAAACTAGAATAGCACAGTACACATGCTTTTCAGAAGAAATTACCTGTAATAACAGGACTCCACCGCTTGAAATTGAAAGGTGCTGGAATGTTGATTATAGATGTGGATGAAGCATTATTATTCCTGAAAAGGGGAAGATATGCCCTACGGAAGAACCTGGGCATCCACTTGCCAACACATGATAATGCACAAAGAAGAACAGCTACTGAAGCAAACAAAATAGCAAAAACAACAGCTGGGTGCATCTTCATGAGCAATAGCTTGTAACTAATAAGTTCCGCCCCAGTTGAAACTGCCTTTCCAGCTTCCGACAGCGCAACACCTAGTGTCCAAGTAATACTTCCGGAACCAATGGTTACTTGACTATCAGTAATGTGCAAGCCTTCTCTCAGCAAAGAGACAATATATGGTGCCCTGAAGCAATACTGTTCTATGAAAGGCTGAGGTGCAACACTAGTCTTTGCAACATCCCAAGTCTTATCACAAAATTCCCGACCCTTTTCTAATACATCATCCAGCGCAGCATCAGGGGTCAAGTTGAAAAAACGATATACCACAAAGAAACCAGACATAGCATAGAACTGGCCAAAGGGACGAGGAAGATTTTCTGCAAGAGCACAGGGCTGCAACTCACAATCAATTCCTGAACTTTTGTTAGACCATTCAGACAAATTAACAGCAAATTTTGCAAGTGAACTGCATTCTTCCCATTTTGGGGCTCCAACCAGCTGAACGCGAACTCCGGGCTTTCCCCCTTTACTTGCAACTTCTCTCCCACTAGAAGGATTGCCACCTTCTTGGTATAGGGAAACACAATGAGTACAGATATATTGCTCCTTGTAACCAGAATTCAGACATGGATGCTTGATCTCAATGTTTCCACTGGTGAGATCTGCATCACTGATCTTGGGAAGCCTCTTGAGAAGTTGAACTACAGACTTGTCAAAAGCATCATTCAGGCCATATCCTTCTAAGGAATAAGCAGTAAGATGATGATTAACAGCGCCAATATTCAGTTCTAAGCTAGTTTCGTCAGGGAGACTTTCCTTGCTCTCAAAAGTAACCTGCAGTGATGAGCCGCCTAAGTCAAGTGCACCAAATGTTCCCTTTTTAGGTTTTGCTCCCAATATACCAGTATGATAATTCATAGCTATCCATCCAAAATAAGCTTCCTCCATGCCCGTGATAGTTTTGACCCATTCCCTCTTGCATAAAAAAGGAGAACTTTTCAGAATGGACCAAGCATTGTTAAGAAGCCATTCCGAGTCTGAATTTGGCAGCCTGCGGACCCCAGCCGTAGCATGAAGATAGAGATAAGTAGTTTTATGTGCATGCCTAGGGATTTGCTTTGCTGCCCATTTTATTAGTGGCTTGATTGCTCTTTTCAAGCCAGACGTGTTGTGCACCAACTTGTCAAATCCGGGTTCTGTCTCCATTCTGTTATAAGCCCGTCCACTCTGTAATCTTGAGTTTCTTTGGAAACTCTCTGGAAGTGATCTCAATACAATAGGGAGATCGTTATCTTTTACATAGTTAGGGGATGCTTGATATACATAAACACGAGTCCCAGTGCTGCCACAATCAAGCACAACATAATACTTTGAGTCTCTACTGAATAAGTTAAAATGGAAAAACATCACATATAGGAGAAACGCAACCAATAGCAAGCACAGGAGAACAAAGATAACTCGTGTCCATTTTGTTCGTGCAGAAGTGACTGTCGGTGTTCCCTTCACCTTGGAGAAGCTTGTACCCAAATTTTCTCTCTTGAAAAGATTTAGCCGTTTTAAATTAGTTGAATCCCTCTCTATTTCAGGGTTAGGACCACCATCTTCCAGATCAAGGCGCCGGTATGCAGAAAGATCTTGAAGGGAGGAGGAAAGTCTCAACTTGTTCTTCTGATCTAAGCTGGAAACATTAAGTGAACCTGGAAGAGGTGGTAATCCCGATGATGGATATGGACTGTTAGATGTCTTTGGGGTCGAGAAACGAGCCACTGCAGCAGAAACAATTTCTGTAACTTTGTTAAGCAGCATCCTTGCAGAGATTACAAGTTCTACGCAAAGTTACTCTTCACACCAGAGTTTTCTAGTCCATTCTTCCATTTGTACATGAAAAGCTCATTGACTATCATTATACAGTAGATAAGTCTTGTAAGCATAGCAAATGATACACTAATTGCACCTGTCAAGGAGAAGTGCCCTGCAGGGATTATCCCAAAAGGAACAAGCAAGTATTAAAAACTAATCAAAATCATTTGAACATGGTGTAATAGTAAGGAGAACTAAAGAGGAGCTAAAACCATAGATATCCAGAGGTCACTCTTCGGTCTAGCTAGAACATGCTACAGTATGACTTTAGTAATTACGTTAGTATGTACCCAATGAAGTTCATCCTACGTGATGCAACTCAACTAAAGATGAGATGAGACAAAAAGATCCATCATCATAGAAGTACATGCTTAGTTTATAGAATATGCACCAAGTCACTGACACAGAATGTTTTTATGGATATTCCAGAAGTTCAAAAATCAGTCATATTTATGGTCTATGGATGTCCCTGGCTTAACTCTACCTATATGAGCTTTGCATTGCCAGCCTCATGTCCAAATAAGAGGGGAAGGGTGGTGGTTAATTGATAACTAATGTATCAACAGCCATAATATCATGAATCTTCCATTTTTTTGTTTTTTTATATAATAGTACAGAATAGATATAAGAGGAGGATTTATATACCACCCCAACTAGTATGGGACTAAGACTTGGTCAACTGAAACATCTCCACCTTCATTCATCCTAGAGTCTTACTCTATAAAATATTTTACGTATACAGAGTTATAAGATAATAAGCATGCCACTGCTGATGGATCAAATGAATTGAACATAACAATACCACTCATCACGTCAGCAGAAGGCTTCTTATAGCATACACAAGTTAATATTTACATCATTATTCAAATTTGCTCACTGAGACCCCAACTCCCACTCACCCCCTAATCCAAATGTAATTCACATTCTTTTCACCAAATTACTGAGTCTAAACTTACAAGAGTTTTCAACACATCCATCCATCAACTGTAGCAGTAAAATGTTACTCAAAAAGAAAGGAAATCAATCAGCAAATTCAATTTTCAGTGTGAATTCGGATACTGATCTCTTAATCTGTTCAAAATAAAATTTATACATATATATACTTCCTGAAAATAGGATAATCACAATTTTTTGTAGTTAAAATGCCATTATTCTTTGGGACAAATGAAGTGTGAAAAAAAGAAGAAAAAGATCTGCACTAGATAACTAGATCTTCTGTAACAATGAACAACTGAAAATTCAATCAGCACATTCAATTTTCAGTGTAAATCCAGATACTGATTCTTTCTTAATCTGTTCAGAAAAAAAATTATACACGTATACACTATATGATAGTAGAATAATCACATTGGTTTTTGTAGTGAAAATGACATTTAACTATTTTAGGCTAACGAAGTTGCAAGAAAATCAGTATTAGATAAACTGTAAAATCCAATCAGCACATTCAATTTTCAGTGTATATCCAGTACTGATTCCTTCTTAATCTGTCCAAAACAAAATTCATACAATTATACACTGCATGAGAGTAGGATAATCACAGTTTTTTGTAGTTAAAATGCCATTATCAAGTTATCCAGCATTCAATAACTAGATCTTCTGTAACAATGGACAACTGAAAATTCAATCAGTATGAATCCGAATATTAGTTTCTTATACATTAACATACTACATAAAAGTACAGTACCTTATGTAAAAAAAAATACCACATAAAAGTAGGATAATCACAATTTTTTTGTAGTTAATATGCAATTATTATTATTCTTTTAGGCAAACGGAGTACTAAAATTCAGCATTAGATAAACTGAAAATTCAATCAGCACATTCATTTTTCAGTGTAAATCCGGATACTGATTCCTGAATCTGTTCGAAACAAAATTTATACAATTATACACTACATGACAGTAGAATAAACACAGTTTTTTTTAAAGTTAAAAAAATGCCACTATTTTTATAGGCAAACGGAGTTACTTAAAAATCAGCATTAGATAAACTGAAATTCAATCAACACATTCAATTTTCAGTGTAAATCCAGATACTGATTCCTTAATCTGTTCGAATTTATTTTTTATACAATTATACACTACATGAGAGTAGAATAACCACAGATTTTTGTAGTTAAAATGCCATTATTTTATTTTTTTAGGCAAACGGAGTTACTTAAAAATCAGCATTAGATAAACTGAAAATTCAATCAGCACATTCAATTTTCAGTGTAAAACCGGATACTAATTCCTTCTTAATCTGTTCGAAACAAAATCATACAATTATACACTACATGAGAGTAGAACAATCACAGTTTTTTTCCGTTGTTAAAATGACATAAACTCTTTAGTCGAACGGTGTTACAAAAAATCAGTATTCAATAACTAGATCTTCAACCAAAATCACTAAATCATAGTAATAAGCAATCGCGAAAGTTACAAATCCTTAAATCAAATCAAACCAGTAGATAAATTCACAAAAATGCATATGAAAATCAGTAAAAATAACTCACGGATCGGTGAAGAAGAAGATAAACGTCGGTGCAGTAGAACGGAGTGTGAATCGTTTTGCTGTCGCCTTCAGTTATGCCGAGATCGTGAAGAAGAAGTGAAAATGAAGCAGATCTAAATGGAGATTAGAGAAGAATTTAGCAACAAACTGAGTCTTCCGCGTTTGAACGACTCCACCATCCTCTTCTTACTTGTTACCTTTCTCTCTCTCTTTCTCTCTCTACTGAAAGGGTCGTAAGTTTCACTAATCACTACACCAAAGTTCAAATACAATTTCAGTTTATTATATTTTTCATTTTTCGTATGTAAAATAAAATAAAAAATGAAAATCAAGCATTTGGCCATAAAATTTAAAAAGTTATTAGATTGGATAGTATGTTTTATGTAAATTAATTAAATTGGTTGATTTTTTCAGTTATTAGATTAGAAAAAATATATTCAATTTTTAATATTCTTCCAAAAATGATAATCAAATTCCAACTTTTAAAATTTCAAATAAAATGAATAATATTAAATTTTCGTGGTCAAATATGAAACACCTTCTTTGTTTCACAAAAAAATTACTTTTATCCCGTCTAATTTTGTTTTTATAAAAATTGATCTCTTTCTTATTATAATAAGAAACAATGTTTCATTCTTTTTATTCATCATAATAAATTTTTGATCCGAATGTATTTTTTAAAAACCATCACGAGATGTCAATATCGATGGGTAATTTGAATTTATTTTCTACGAGAAATTTAAACATATAGATTTACATATTTCAAAATAAAATCTTTTAATAATAAAGGACGAATATAATTCATATGAAGCAATTCGTATGAAATTCAGTAATTTTAAATAGTATGAAGACAAAATTGAGCATTTCCTTTGTGTTAGTTAAGAAAAAATAATTAAAATAGTACGTGTTTGTTAGTTCTTGATGAAATATCATAGTATTCTAAACATCAATTGATTTTGTTTTTAGTTATTTCTTACTTTCCTTCGATATCACAAATTCAAGATGAATCGATAATTACTCATTGCTTCAAATTTGAAGACATCAATTATCTCATCTTTCTCAAATTCTCTAGTAAGAGTGAAGTAATCTAAAAAAATTCTTTCTCACTATCAATCCAAGAGTGTTTCCTAATTCTCTCTAACATTAACTATATAATTTGAATCTCGAAAAATAAATATCAAACTATGAAACAATTTGAGTCTACAAAGCGTCGTCGTTTCCGAATTAGGCAAAACTCCATTACCATTTTTTTAATTTTATTTTACAGATAAGTCATGCGTTTTGAATTTGGCAGTTAGCAGTTTTGTCAGTTGTCTATTTGGCCACTAGGCACTAATCCACTGCTTTATGTACGTTAATTGTCAGTGCTTTTGCCAAAATCAAGGAAAATAACTATTCCTTCAATTCCAAATTAGTGTAGTTATCATTTTATGTTTTTTAATCTTGCTATTAAGTACTCCTACTATTTAATATTGGCGAAATGGTCTGGTGGACCCTTATACTTGTATCAGTTTGTATTCTGAACCCTTCTACTTACACCTTTGTCATCTGGACCCTTAAACTCAATAAAACACAATTTAACAAACCCCTCTGACCGTTGACCAGGCTTATGTGGCAGTAAGATGTCTGAGTTGGCAAAAGTGTGTAACTACACGCCTATTAAGGCGAGTGAGGAGCATTTTTACTTAAAAAAAATTTAAAATTATAAAAAAATAATTTTTTTAAACCATTAATTAAAAAACTCCTTCTTCTTCACCCATTACACCTCATTTTCAGCCATATTCATCCCTTGCCCAACCCTTTTTTTCTTTTTTTCCAAAATCAATTTTTCGGCTAGATCTGGTGTGTTGGCTGTTGGTTTTGTGAGGTTGGAGAAGGAAAGGAAAATGGTCGTGACGTGTGGCGGAGATGAAGGCAGGTAAAGGAAGGAATATGAGTGATTTCGCCGGCAACAATGACGACGGCGGCGATGGTTTGGGCCATGAAACAATGGGAAGGGGAGAAACTATAATGGGTAGATTTCGACAAGTTTCACAGCATAGGTTGGTGTGAAATTGTATTTGTAAGCAATTTGGGGTGTGAGGATTACGAAAAGCTTGGCCAGATCTGGTTGTGCGGTGGCCAGATCTGGTTTTGCGGTGGTTTAGGTTGTTGTTATTGTGGAGGTTGGAGGAGGAAAGAAAAATAATGATGGTGTGCGGCAGAGATTAAGATGGGTGAGGGAGAAAGTATATGTGATTTCGCCGGCAAAAATGGTGACGACGCCGGCGATGTTTGGTCGTGAAATAGGGAGAATTAGAAATGCCAATAATAAATTAAAATGTTATTACTTTACATTTTATTAAATAATTTTGGTTAATAATTTTAAAAAATAGTTATGAAATAATTATGATGTGGCATTAATATATCTGACGTGGATATGACATGTCAATTATATAAAGGAGAGTGAGCTACACACATGGTTGGAGGGGCTTAAAAGTCTCATTTTAATTGAGTTTAAGGGCCCAGATGACAAAGGTGTAAGTAGAAGGGTTTAGAATACAAACTGATACAAGTAGAAGGGTTCACCAGACCATTTCGCCTTTAATATTTGAAAAAATCTTTTTGGCCAGAATTATATTTTATCTATGTTATTTTACTTTTTTAAATATTTTTACCCTTTTAACTTTAATATCTTTTAACTAAGAAATGGAAAAAAATCAATTTATTTTTTTTAAGAAAAAAAATTATAGTTTTTTAAATTTTCTGACCAAATTCTGGTCAAATAATATTTAAAACATTTTTCAGGAGTCGTTTAGTTTGAATTCAAATTATGATGAAATTAGTTATGATGAGATTAATTATGATGAGATAAGTTATGATGAAATTAGTTATGATGAGATAAGTTATACTAAAATTATTTTTTATTGAGTGTTTGATTTGTTGTATTGAAAATAATAAATCTTAAGAACAATATATATGTTTACAAAAATACCCTTCATGAATATGAAACGTAATGTATAAAAGTGTTTAAAGGAATATTTTTGTCATTTAGTCATTTTATGTCGGGATTACTATACCACCCAAGGGAAGAGACTTGATACTAATTATTAATCCCCGAATAAGTTATCCCGAACTTGCCAACCAAACAACAAATTAAGTAACACTATAATTTAATCCCATGACTATTTGAAGTTATCCTTCACACCAAAGTATTAAATTTAATATATTCAAATAGTAATATAGTAATGTTACTCCTATTATTTATTATTTCTTAAGGTGTGTACTCAGTGGCGGATCTAGGATTAATATAGTAATGTTACTCGCGGATCTAAAATTCTAAGGTTGTCGGTACTCTGAAAGTGGAGGAATAAAAAATGTAAAAAAACATATTAATAGTGAAATTCGAACCCAGGGTCAACAACACTGAAAGAGCATTAAGCACCCACCCAAGAGCTAATGGGCCTGTTAGATCATTTATTCATTAGGCGTTTTATATACTCATAAATACCTCTTAATTTCTACTTAGATATATATATTTTGAGACGAGATTAATGGGTGCTAGAGCACCCGGTGAACTCTATGTGGGTCCGTCCCTGTGTGTACCAAATCAATAGTGGACAGTTACTGTTGGACAGAAAGAGTAACACTTTATTTGAATTGCGCATTGTAAAATTCGTTCAAAGATAGTAAAAAAATAATAATTTCACCACTACATCACAACTGATGTTAGTCCCTTAGCTTCATTTTACTGTGGTAAAATTGGTAAGAACATTATATTGTTTTTACCCTTTTCGTGATGTGCGTGCTTAGCTTGTGATAGCAATAATCGATGAGCTCCACTTTTCTCAAAAGTGAATTTTCCATTTGTCAAATTAAAAAGAAGTGGAAGACATTGATTCATACTTTTCAATCTTTGCTGTTGGTGATGTTATAATTGGACCGACACTCCAAGACACCGTTTATTTTCTTAAAAAAATGTTTGATATTGGTATTGAGATATAATTAAATTTAAATTTGTACATTATAATATTTATTTTCGAGAAGCGATGCTCTTAATATAATTTTTTTCGTTCCCAAGAACTTGAACCCAAGACTTTTACAGAAAGGTGGAGATATCTCAACTATTCCATTATAATTCATATTGTTGTTCTCTTTCTCTAACACCTATCCGGTTGTTACTCAGTGTGTTTGTATTGTTAGTTTAAATACAATGTTTGTTTTGATTGTTACATTAATTTTATTGTATCGTATTATTTAAATCCATCATTAGGTAACAATGGAAAGTTCCATTATGTGTAATGACCGATTTAGTGTGATCATGTCGTTACCTTCACTATAGGAAAAGTGAATTACATGGGGATTTTCCTAGGGATTAGTATGAAAATTCCCATAAAACTTATTTTCCTGCAAATTTTCATACTAATCCCCATGTAATTCACTATTTTCTTGTAGTGCTTATTATTTTATCTTTACTTATTATTTAATAATCTTATTGTATACATCTTTACCTTATCTTCTTATAGTAATTCTACCTCCATACTCTACTTTTCTTTTATCAGTCAAATTTTTGGTGTGTGATATTATATAACAATATAGAACGTACGATCTATAACATAATATGATATAATAAGATATATTATGAAATAATACGTAATAACTATCCAAACATAATTTAGTTTTGTCTACTCCAGTCCTTGACCTGGTAAATTGACTTTGTCCGCTTTCTCTCTTCGAATTTATATAGCTATGAATTATGATCATTAAATTTTAAAAAAAATTAAATTCATAAAATAATTTAGACTACATCAACTTCAAGATAATAGTTCAAAATAATGTGGCCATTCAAGTCAAATAAATGAAATAATATAATGTTATGTATGTAGATGACATGTTTTAGCTAATAAAAATTGGAGCTTGTCATCAGAGAAATATGATTAATTAGTCAATTTAAATCGACTAATCAAATCACATATTCTTCTGTAAAAATATAAATATGGGTCCTTGTAAGTTGTAACTCATAAAATGATTGAAATTAAGAACAAGAACCAAGAAAGAGCTTGTGGATATATAAAAACCAAATATTTCTACAAATTCAAGCAATCAAGTTTTAAGTGTGAAAACGAAAGAAAATCAACAAAGTGTTCAAGATCAAATTACTTATTGTAAACTCTATATTCATTATTTGTGGCAATTATTCAAGTGTTCATGAGAAATAATTCAAATTTAAGTTCATA